CGGGGTTTTAATCACCTAAAAAGCAACGAGAGGGGAGCACTGGGAAGCCACGAGGCTCAGCTCTTTTATACCTATAATATTAGCAGGTGAGAAGGTCCCCAAAGGCTGTTTTGGATGCTATAAGGCCATGGAGAAGACTCCTGAGGGATCTTCTTCTTGCTGTTCGTTGCTGTTGGCCTGCAACGAGCTGTCCTTTCCAATTACAGAAACCCACCATCCGCCGCCAAGACTTGGGAACGCGGGGTGTACGTGTCGGAGCGCTCCGGAGAGCACGCGACGTTGATGGGCGAGCCTTGCCGAGCGCGGCTGCTTCCCCGAACCGAGCCAAGAGGTTGGATTCGGTCCTTGGCATGAGCGCGGGCTCTCGGGGCCACCTTGGCACGGCGTCGGGGCCAAGCGCTGGTGTTATTGCGGCGATGGAGAATCGCTGGATGGCTTCATCTGGCAGCATCTCACCCCCCACGTCGGGGCTGGCAGGAATACATCGGGCTCCAGCAACAACCATGATGAGATGGAGCCCAAAAAGCTGCTGAGATCCTTCCTCCACTCAACCATCCTACACGGAGGAGGGCTGGGAGGCTCCTAAACACCCCAGGGTGGAGAAGTAGGACTTTGGCCCCAGGGTGAGCTAGAAGGGACCGGCCACCAACAACACTTGCTGGAAAATAGAGATAAATTGAGAATATTTGCAGCCCCTACCCAGGGCTTCGCGTTAAGGCTGTGCTTGGACATCTCTTCAGGGACTAGCTGGTACAAACTGGGGAGAAACACGTTCCCCAGCTCCTCCATCCTTAAACTAATCCTTTTTTTCTACAACTTGGACTCTTTGATGGCCAAGCCCCAGAAGTCTCATCCTACAGATACACACATTTTTGGGAGACAGCAAGAAAAGGAAGGATTTCGACCACGCAGACAGCCCAAAACTATAGTAACACACCAGGTAACACGGTTACAAGAAGGACAAACCAGACATGGTGCCACCGGGGAGGAAGGGAAGCAGCTGCTCAGCTCCACGTTGCACCCTAGAGACAAATCCAAGTGGGGTAAGTGCCATCAGCTCTCCTACGACAAGGACACCGTGCTTCCGCGGCAAGAACTCCATGTCTTAAAACCAACTAGGTTCCCCCAAAACCACAAAGCACCAGCTGGGTTGAAACCAGTGTGTCCCAATGACACAAGGACATAGAATCTCCTGAGTTGGAAGAGACCCACGAGGATCATGGATCATCAAGCCCAACTCCTGACTCCACACAGGGCAACCTAAAAGTTAAACCCTATATCGAAGAGCGTTCTTCAAACTCTTCTTCAACACCAACCGGCTTGGGGCCACGAGCTCATCCCTGGGGAGCTCGTCCCAGTGCTTGACCACCCTCTCCATAAAGAACTCTTTCCTAATGGCCAATCCGAACTTCCCCTGACACAACTTTAAGCCGTTCCCTCGTGTCCTATCACCAAACACCTGAGAGAAGAGATCAGCACCTCCCTCTCCGTTCCCCATCACGAGGAAGTTGTAGACATCAATGAGGTCACCCCTTGGTCTTCTCTTGTCCAGGCTGCCCAACCCTGATATCCTCAGCCGCTCCTCACAAGCCCTCTACCCCTTTCACCATCTCTGTTGCCCTCCTTTGGACACGTTCTAATATTTTTATGTTCTTCTTAGACTGTGGAGCCCCAAAGTGCCCACAGGACACACCAAGATGTGGGACAACCATGTCTTTCAACCGGTTTGCCAGGATACGACACGTTCTAATATTTTTATGTTCTTCTTAGACTGTGGAGCTCCAAAGTGCCCACAGGACTCAAGGGTGAGGTCACACCAAGACATGGGACAACCACGGCTTTCGACCGGTTCGCTCTACTGTGCCTAATGTACCCCAGGATACGGGTGGCCCTTTTGGCCATGAGGGCACCTGGTTGACTCCCGTTGAGCTTCCCATCACCCAAAGTCCCCAGATCGGTCTCTGCAGGGCTGCACTCCAGGACACGTGGAGAACAGAGAGCTCCTTCCAGTGGCCAACGAGTGAAAAAGGGACAGGGTCTGAGTGTCAAGGGCTCCAAAATTGATTTTAGGGGTGTCCAGGGGGAACCCTGGTGTGGTCTGCTCAGAGATACAAGTGGGCAGAGACCCCAGAGCCTCTTCGATTCCTCCCCCCACCTCTTTTTATCCAGGGTGTGCGAGCCAGCGTGGCCAGGGCCAAGAGGAGCCTGTGACTTTGTGATGCTTGGGACAGGGACAACCGCGGGCTGAGCTGTCAGCAAGAGGCTGTGGAGAGGCTGGAGGAGATCAGATGGGGAAGGCTCCTCCACCAGCACAACCAGGGCCGGAAGAGGACATTTATTGTAGATTTTATGGGTTTTTTTGAGCCTCATTTCTTCCTCGACACTTTGACTTGAGAGCGAAGACCTCGGCGTAGCTCAGCAGCGGCTCTGATTTCCATCCTGACCTTTGCTTCCTCTGGTTAATTGTTGTCGTCCTCCGTGAAGGAATTGAGACGCTTTGCGGACGTGGCCTTTCGTCCTCCCTTCCGTCGAGGAGCACGCCCCGCGCGTCCCGTGGCGGCTGCGTTAATCGCAGATGAAGGGAGGTTAGAAAAACCTTCTGGAGGTCCATACCTGACCCCGGCTGCCAGCAAGGCCAACTTCAAAGCCGGGTCAGGTTGCTCAGGGCCGCGTCCCGTTGAGTTTGGAGAGGGTTGGAGGCACCGCCACCTCTCTCCCGCGTTACCGTGCCCTGAGGACCCTCCTCGTGTTACGGTTCTCAGGTCACGCTCTCCTTTTGTGTCGGCCTTTCTGATTTTCCTCCCTGCGTGCTCGTTCTGCGCTCACCCGCAGCCTGACCTACTTTCCGCCGTCTTTGATTCCTTTCTCGAGTTCCAGGTTATTGAAAAGCTCACGTTGGCCTCCTCCTTCCCTTCCCTCCTTCCCCTGCACGGGGATAACGCGGGCCGTTGCCCTCGATATTGTCTTTTCTCCTGGTCTCTGAAGATTTCTGATGGTAGGCAGCGCCGCAGGGAGGCCGGATGTCGGTTTTTAGCCTCAATTTGAGCTCCGTTTTCACCGCTGCTGATCTACGGCCACAGGAGATGGCGTGAAATCTCTCAGCCAGGTCTCCCGGCGCAGGAATCTCCCTGGGGGCAGCACTCGAAGGCAGATGCTCGCAATAACCTATTTCGGCCTTGGCAACCAAGGACTGAAATTATCCCTTTCCCTTTTCTAATCTTTTTGGGGAGACCCTGGTTTGTAACTGCTGGAGAAGGGGATGTCGCAGCGGGGGAGCCCTGAGTTGGAATGACCCAGGGATACCCGTGGGTGCTGCGACCGCGTCGGGTTCAAAACCGGCCTCGCCGCCACCTCCGCATCCCAGCAGGATATCGGCGGAGGAAGGAACAGCATCTGTTTCTTGTATTTCTCCTCTCCCCGTTAAATTTTGGTGAGCTCCTGCGCCTGCCACAGCAATTCCTCATGACCTTCTAGTCCTGATGTTGGTTTTTCTCCAGCTCCTTCAAGCCAAGGAGAGGTTTTATGTCTTACCACCCCGGTAGAGAAAGAAGAGAGGAACTTTAGGCACAGTTTGTTAGCAGCCCGTCCTCGGCAGAGCCAGCGAGGGGAAGCACCGCGTTTAAAATGATTTGAGAGCTCAAAAGCGCGACAGAGAGCTGGCAAAACCCCCTTGGCAAGGAATCGGCTCGCACAGAGCTCTGGATGCCGGAGGCTGGCCAGCAAAGACAGATGCTTTCATCCTCACCCCAGACGGAGCCCGTTAGCAAGGCAGCGATCAGGCAGCCCTGCCTGTCCTGGCATTTCCCATACCCCTCGTTGCGTTCCCTGGATCTTCTTCAGGAATACTTGGCTCAAATTTGAGGAATCGTTTCCTCAGACCACAGCTGAGCTCTGCAGCGCGGAAGCGGCACCGGCTGCTCCACGGATCATCCCTTTGAATCCGGGTTAAAGCAACAGGTTGTCCAACCGGAGCCTTTTTTCCAGGTGCGATGGGGTTGTCGACCGCTACGAGGGGCTTTTCTCTCCCCTCTTCTGAGCGTGGTTTGTTGAGAATTAGCGTGAGGATGTTTCACGGGTGTTTGAGGACTCGTCAATCTCTGTGCTACCCCGCAGATGTGAGCACGTGTCACCTCAGCACCCGAAAGCTGCCAGGATGAGACCCTCCGTGTTGTCACTGCATGGAGACCGGAGCCCCTGGGGACCTTTGGTTACTGCTGCAGGCTTTGAAATTCCCTAAAAATGTCAGGATTCGGCCCATCGTGGCTTCTTTAACCTCGCAGAAGCTGGTGGTGGATGGATGAACCATCTACCACCCCTTTTTAAGCTGTCTTGCGATGCAAAAGTGGGAATTTGAACCTCCAAAGCTTCCCCGTGCTGAAAAATCAAGTGTCCAGTGTGGGTCTGGTTTTGTTTAAGCTGTGGCTCTCGCGGGCTGCCTCCTCTTCCCCCGCTGCCTCCTCTTGGTACGGTTTTGTTTATGCACTCTGGGAACAGCAGGCGCGTTTGCCATCGCACGCGGGTTTTCCTGGCGTAATTACGGCCCGAATCAGCCAGCTTTTAATGCGTCTTCAACTCATAAGCCCAGAAACCGTACGGAAACGCTTGTGGCCACGTTGGGGCTCTGCTTGTCCTTCCCCGGGGAGGTGAGGAGGAGGATGGGGCTGAGCAGAACCTGTCCGAGGTAATGATTACGCGCTCCATCTTTCTGTATTTCTATTTTGGGCTCTATAAGTAACTTTTATTTACCCGTAAGTTCCTTCGGTCACAGCCAGCTTCTTCATCCTGATGTGCCGGGAGCAGATGGGGACGGTTCTGGCAGGGATCGGTCATCTCTGCTCACCGCTGAGGGTAACGGTTTGCGCTTGTTACGGTTGCTTTGCGATCCAGGTGGATTTTCTTTCCCAATCGGGGTGGATTTTGGTTTCCTACACGTGTTTCCAGCCTGTTCCCTTCTCCTCCTCCTCACGCTGCGCTCTGGCAGCGTTCCCATTTTCCCGTAGGATGCGTCGTTGCCGCTCTTCGCCTTGGGCAGCGCGTGGCTGCGTCTCCCTTCGCAGGGCTCGCTCTCTCCCGACACCTGCTGTCATTTTGGAACAGCTTTTGCCAAAAACCTGGAATTCTCAGCTTATTACAGGAGCGCTTGTCAGTCTGTTTGGGAGCGGGGAGACTTTGCTGCCATTGCCTCTGATTTCTTGGGTCTGGATCCGTGTTTAGGCGTTATTTGTAACCCCTGCTTTGAGGAGGGGTGGCAGTAGATGGCCGATGTCCCCATATCCCTGCTCCAGACAGCAAATGGCTTCCCTTTTTGCCTTTTATTGGAGTGGTTTGGATAGAAACCCGCTCCCCGTGGACGCCCCGGGCTGTGGCAGAGGCCGAGGGGGCACGGAGAAAGGCCTCTGGGTGGCTTTTTCCATCGCGGTAGGTGCTGGACGGGGTGGTCCCGTTCTCTGGGTATGGGGCTGGGCTGGGCGAGCGGTGTGGGGACAGGGAGAGCCCCGTTAGGCGAGGGGGAGGTTGAGTCAGGGACCGGGGGGGCCTGTGGGGCTGGGCTGGAGGTGTGAGGGGGGACCAGAGAGGGACACGGGCCCCGTCCCCTACCCCAAACCCAGGCCTGGGCCCTGTCCTGTACCCCGGGCCCAAGGGGCAGCCAGGCCCGGTTGGGGCCCATGGGGCCAGGGGAACCCTATGGGGCTGAGCCCCGGGGGCCTGGCCTGGGGCCTTGTCTGGTAACCGGAGCCCCGGGGGCCTGGGCCTGGCCTGGGGCCTTGACCGGTAACCGGAGCCCCCGGGGGGGCCTGGGCCTAGACCGGGCCTGGGGCCTTGTCCAGTAACCGGAACCCCTGGGGGCCTGGCCTGGGGCCTTGTCCGGTAACCGGAGCCCGCGGGCGGCCTGGGTTTCC